GATGTTCACTTACTAACGTTCTCAGGATCCTTGGAAGGGCTTGTTGTGGAACGCAGAGGATCAAGGATCCTGAGAACGTTAGTAAGTGAACATCCTAATGTTCTCAGGATCCTTGGTCTCTGTGTTCCACAACAAGACCTTCCAATGATCCTGAGAACATTAGTAAGTGAACATCCTATCAGCTTGACTGACATCCAGACTCCCAAATATCTCATTGTAGAACAAGGGGACTGTCTCAATGTTCCACAATAAGACCTTCCAAAGATCCTGATAGCAACAAGCAGTTCCCATAGTATCTTGAAGGGTGGGTGTCAGTCTGGAGGAGTAGGATTTCCTAGACAGGTTGCATCTGAATGTAGACCTCCCTAGGTAAAACCCACATGATGCTGAGTCTCCATGATTGAAATAACAGATATCCAATGAATATAGGGGGCGGGCCAGGGACAGTCGGATCGGGGGAGGAAAAGGACTAGTCAATTGTGGACATCCTCCAGCTCGGAAACCAGACTTATTGCAGCTACTAATGCATACTGTGAGAAGCTCACAGTGTGCAGTAAAATCAGAGTAAGAGGAGCCGGAAGAGAAGGCTGGAGTTCAGCTGTAAGAGTCACTATATACATAAAAAAAATATTTTGGAACCGTATGAATCCGACTTCCTGTGCACATGGCCTATAAAGAGAACGTTCTGTACACTCATGCGGTAATATTGCAGCAACCACAAGCCTGCACATGTCACCGCGCCATCACAGCCCGACTTTACCAGGCCAGAGAGGAGTCTGTGGGAGGTTAATGGCAGATATATATATAAAAGGAACAAACACATCACCCAAAGCCCACCCCGGCCTGATGGATCCATATTAACAAGGTTCCATCTATAAATGTGTTCCTTCTGTCTTCACGTCACCAGCAGTTTGTAACAGTTCATTAAAAACCTTTGAAGGGCCGCGTTTCATGAGCGCGCTCCGCCGTTAATATGCGGCTGAAATAAAATATAATTTGTACTTTGATTGTTGACAGTTTCACTGTTTGACAGAGGAAGCGTCATTTCTAATGATCGGGTGGCTGGGGACGCTGGGAGTCAACCGATATACCCCGAGTGTACACAATGCAGGACTCATGGGACTGCTTCAGGTATTAGAGCCCCACACCCCAACTCAATACATGGAACCCCCAAATGAGGGGCTGGAGGGGAGGACAGGGGAGACCTAACGTTACACCATGGAAATAAAAGATCAGCAAGGTCCGGGGTGTATGGAACTTCATTATCATAGCATGTTGTGAGCCGGGGGGTCCCCAAACTACGACCCATGGGCCACATCTGGCCCATCATGAGATTCTGACTTAGACTGTGCACAAAAGGGGGGGCACTGATGTAAGGGGTGCTCTGATGGGGACACGGATGTAGAGGGGATGCTGATGTAATGGGGGACCCTGATGTTAGTGGGAGACTCCAATGTAAGGGGGACTCTGATGGGGGCCCTGATGTAAGGGGAGACCCAGATAGGGAGTCTGATGTAAGCGGGTTCTGATGGGGACCCTGACGTAAGGAGGGACTTTGATGTAATGGGGGACCCTGATGTTAGAGGGGAGTCTAATTTAAGAAGGGACTCTAATGGGGACTGCAATGTAACAGGGGACTCTGATGGGGACCCTGAGGTAAGGTGGACTCTCATGGGGACACTGATGTTAGAAGGGGGAGCTCTGATGGGGGACCCTTGTGTAAGGGGGGACTCTGATAGGGGGACCCTTGTGTAAAGGGGGACTCCAACGTAATAGGGGACCCTTATGTTAGAGGGGAATCTGATTTAAGAGGGGACTCTAATGGGGATTCCGATTTTAACGGGGGACTGATGGGAACCCTGATGTAAGGTGGACTCTTATGGGGACCCTGATGGGGACCTTTATGTAAGGGGACTCTGATGGGGACCCTGATGTAAGGGGTGACTCTAATGATGATCATGATGTATGGGGGGCACTAATGGGGATCCTGATGTATGGGGGGCACTAATAGGGATCCTGATGTATGGGGGGCACTAATGGGGACCCTGATGTATGGGGGGCACTAGTGAGGATCCTGATGTATGGGGGGCACTAGTGAGGATCCTGATGTAAGGTGGATTCTGATGGGGCCCCTGATGTAAGGGGGGACTCTGATAGAGAACTTGATGTAAGGGGGATGCTGATGGGGACCCTCATGTAGGGATATTGTAAGATATGCAATGTGTCTCTTACATGCTATAGGGCATGTAAAGAAGGCGGGGCAGCTCTGGGAGCCAATCAGCAGTGCTGCATATGTGGTGCCAAGGAACATGATGACAGAAGCAGCAGGTAGAGAGATCAGAGATGTGAAGTACTGCTGCTCCTGCATTGTCCAATCACAGGCTGGGGGCGAGAAGCTGACTAAGCTGTATTGTTTAAGGGCAGCAGAGAAAATCCTGGTCACTGGCCTGGCTGTGCTGTGTGGCAGAGCTGTGTAAATCTCAGGACTGGATAGTCAGAGTTACAAATCCTTTGGCATGTAAAGCATGTCTCTGCTGGAGAAGGAAACCGACACAGCCAGATGACATGTCGGAGGTGCCATCACCCTACCTCCATGTACCCGTGACTCAGGCTCCTGTATGACACATAGGCTGTGGCGGTGTACAAGTGTCCGAGATCTGTGCAGACCTTTGCTCAGCTTCCCAGAAAAAAACAAAAGTCCATGATAGCGCCGGGCCCTTTGCTGTGATCAGAGGGTGCGCTGGATTTAATCAGTGACTCCAAAATCTGTACTCAGACCGAAAGCTAAAGTTTGTTCTGCTTATATTTGGTCTTCACTGGTGACATTTTTTAATAAAACCTATTTCCCATCACATCCCCTCATTTCAGACCCAGTGATGTCATCACTGGGCCTCTGTGCAGTGGCGTCCCGAGGCAGGTGCGGTCTGCACCGGGTGACACCGACCGCACAGGGTGACACCGGACTCGCTCCACAAAAAGGTAAGTTGCAAAGAAAGTCGACGATCCCCGCAGGATGGATCAGATCTGCGGATTGAGAATAATGGATTGGAGTTCGATACATTATCCTCCCCAATCCGCAGATCTGATCTATCCTGCGGGGATCGTCGACTTTCTTTGCAACTTACCTTTTTGTGGAGCGGGTCCGGTGTCACCCCGTATAGGTTGCCTGCGGACTATCCCGGCAGGATCAGGGCGTCTCTAGGGTTGGTGTCACCCGGTGCAATAACACTTGGTGACACCCCCTCCGACGATCCCCGCAGGATGGATCGGATCTGCGAATTAGGGAGGATAATGGATCGAACTCCAATCCATTATTCTCAATCTGCAGATCCGATCCATCCTGTGGGGATCGTCGACTTTCTTTGCAACTTACCTTTTCTTGGAGCCGGTCCGGTGTCACCCCGTATAGGTTGCATGCTGACGATCCCGGCAGGATGGATCGGATCTGCGGATTGGGGAAGATAATGGATCGGACTCCAATCCATTATTCTCAATCCGCAGATCCGATCCATCCTGCCGGGATTGTCGGCATGCAACCTATACGGGGTGACACCGGACCGGCTCCAAGAAAAGGTAAGTTGCAAAGAAAGCTGATGATCCCCGCAGGATGGATCGGATCTGCGGATTGGGGAGCATAATGAATCGGAGTCCGATCCAGTATTCTCAATCCGCAGATCTGATCCATTCTGCGGGGATCGTCGGAGGGGGTGTCACCAAGTGTTACAGCACCGGGTGACACCAACCCTAGGGACGCCTCTGTGCTTCTCTATGCAATGGAGGCCAATTATAGCCGGTCGGAGGGGCCAGCAGGGTGCTATATATTGCTCCCTGCCTTAATACTTCTCTCAAGAGCCCTCGGCCCGGATACAAGAAGTGGGCCGGATCTTGGGAGGAGTTATGCAAATATTAAAAGTCCTTGATGGATGGGTTTCAGACTGGAAGAAGAGTGGGTGTTTCTAGGCAGATGATGCCCTCCTGTGACCTCTGTGATCCAATGAATGAAAGGGGTGGGGCCAGGGACAGTCAGGCGGGGGGGAGGAAAGAACTAGATGATGCTGGATGTCCACCAGCCAGGAAATGAGGCGGAGCTCTATCTGCAGCTTCTAATGCACATGGTGAGAAGCTCACAGTGTGCAGTGAAATCAGAGTAAGCCATTGCAGACCGGGAGAGGAGCACAGTCTGGGGGGGGGGGGGGGGGGGGGTGACCCTTTCACCCAGGATTCAATGTGGGTGAACGAATCAGTTGGACGCAGTTAGTATTGATGTATTTCTGAAGGCGTACGAACGTGAAGACGATGCATTTCTAGGAATCCGAGGCGGAGTGCATAGGGGTATTATGGGTGCGAATTCCTGAGATAGCTTCATATAGACAGAAATATGCAATCAGAGGAGAGCGCGAGATTCACAATGACACGGGAAGACGTCCCTCCATGTGAATCTCATGTATGTGTTGGTGACGTGTTCTACACCCGGAAGATACATTGGATCCAATCTCATGACATGCATCATGGAGGAACCCATCTGGACGTCCATGTTGCAGTAACACCCACTCTACAAGCATTGTGGTGTTGTTCATTTTTAATGGGAGCTTAAAGCGGTACTAAACCCACAACAGTACAATCAGTCTGTAGATGCAGTAAAGCATGCTTGTTATACTCAGTGTGGAACCGAAGGGGTTAATCCTCCGCATTGTGTAAAACAGGCTGTTTGATCCTTTCTTCTCTGATCCTCCCCTTCTACTGTCCCCAATCCATCTGCTGATAGAACAAAGCCTTGGGGAGAATCTGCACATGCTCAGTTTTGTGTGCATTACTAGAAAGTTTTTTTTTTCTTGGGAGAGTGCATGTGATCAGCACAGGGCTAATCAGCACTGTCCAGACAGAAGCTCAGGGGTTCTGCATCCTCTTAGAGCGGAATGAAAACTCCTCCTACAAGCTTTAACCAGTGCTCTGCTGGACACTGATAGAAGGCACAAGACTGCTATATACTACTGATGAGAAAAAGGTATGCAGGGTGCAGGGATATAGTCCGGGGGGGAGAGACCGGATATAGTGAATGCAGGGTCGGGGGGAGAGCGGATATAGTGAATGCAGGGTCCACCGGATATAGTGAATGCAGGGTCCCGGATATAGTGAATGCAGGGTCCGGGGAGACCGGATACAGGGACCTGGGGAGAGCGGATATAGTGAATGCAGGGTCCGGGAGACGGGGAGAACCAGGGTCCGGGGAGACCGGATATAGTGAATGCGGGGAGTGCGGATACAGGGAATGCAGGGTCCGGGGAGTGCGGATATAGTGATACAGCGGATATATGAATGCGGGGTCTGGGGAGAGCGGATATATATGCGGGGTCCGGGAGAGAGCGGAATAGTGAATGCAGGGTCCGGGGAGACCGGATATAGTGAATGCAGGGTCCGGGGAGACCGGATATAGTGAATGCAGGGTCCGGGGAGACCGGATATAGTGAATGCGGGTCCGGGGAGAGGGATATAGTGAATGCGGGGTCCGGGGAGAGCGGGATATAGTGAATGCGGGGTCCGGGGAGAGCGGATATAGTGAATGCGGGGTCCGGGGAGAGCGGATATAGTGAATGCGGGGTCCGGGGACTGGATGGATAGTAAGCAAATTGCAGGGATTATTTTTGATGGATGTACGAATACTGAGGCTTTCACACAGCAAATGTTTTACACGGAGGTCCCTAAGTGTAAGTTACCAGAGACTATCAACTTTAGAAGTTGTGGAGACCTGGGATCCGTTACATGACCCCCGCAGTCACCTGGGATCTCTTACATGACCCCCGCAGTCACCTGGGATCTCTTACATGACCCCCGCAGTCACCTGGGATCTCTTACATGACCCCCGCAGTCACCTGGGATCTCTTACATGACCCCCGCAGTCACCTGAGATCTCTTACATGACCCCCGCAGTCACCTGAGATCTCTTACATGACCCCGCAGTCACCTGGGATCTCTTACATGACCACTGCAGTCATCTGGGATCTCTTTTATAACCCCTGCAGTCACCTGGGATCTCTTTTATAACCCCTGCAGTCACCTGGGATCTCTTTTAGGATTTCTGTGGTCAGCTGGAATCCATTATATGACCCCTGCAGTCACCTGGAATCTCTTATATGACCCCGTTGGTCACCTGGGATCTAATATATGATCTTGGCAGTCACCTGGAATCTCTTATATGACATCGTTGGTCACCTGGGATCTATTGTATGATCTCTCCGCAGTCACCTGGGATCTATTGTATGATCTCCGCAGTCACCTGGGATCTATTGTATGATCTCCGCAGTCACCTGGGATCTATTGTATGATCTCCGCAGTCACCTGGGATCTATTGTATGATCTCCGCAGTCACCTGGGATCTATTGTATGATCTCCGCAGTCACCTGGGATCTATTGTATGATCTCCGCAGTCACCTGGGATCTATTGTATGATCTCCGCAGTCACCTGGGATCTATTGTATGATCTCCGCAGTCACCTGGGATCTATTGTATGATCTCCGCAGTCACCTGGGATCTATTGTATGATCTCCGCAGTCACCTGGGATCTATTGTATGATCTCCGCAGTCACCTGGGATCTATTGTATGATCTCCGCAGTCACCTGGGATCTATTGTATTGATGATCTCCGCAGTCACCTGGGATCTATTGTATGATCTCCGCAGTCACCTGGGATCTATTGTATGATCTCCGCAGTCACCTGGGATCTATTATCTGATCTCCGCAGTCACCTGGGATCTATTATCTGATCTCTGCAGTCACCTGGGATCTATTGTATGATCTCCGCAGTCACCTGGGATCTATTGTATGATCTCCGCAGTCACCTGGGATCTATTGTATGATCTCCGCAGTCAACTGGGATCTATTGTATGATCTCCGCAGTCACCTGGGATCTATTGTATGATCTCCGCAGTCACCTGGGATCTATTATCTGATCTCCGCAGTCACCTGGGATCTATTGTATGATCTCTGCAGTCACCTGGGATCTACTTATGATCTCTGCAGTCACCTGGGATCTATTATATGACCTCCGCAGTCACCTGGTCTTTTTTCTCATTCATAGCATGACTGGTTGTTTCTATATTTATATTTGAATTATTTATACCTCTTTTGTATCTCCTGAGCAAATCTTTTGAATCTGGGAAACACGTTGAGAGTCCCCCCCCACTACAGAAATCAGCACTTTTGCATGGAAATGGATGTAGCTACAATGTAACAATATACTGTATGCAGGGAACACATTGTCATGTCAGTATATGAGGTCTGGTTGAGGCTCTGTATGGCGGATGATCTTCGGCTATGACCAATAGACTATCACAAATCTCTCTTTTATATGTTCTTCTTTGATTCTAAGACTTCGTTGTCATAAAACACGTTTGATAAGATTTGACTCACTTTGGTCCCTGAACAGTCCTTATAGAAGTGGAAAGGTTTATAGTTTACTGTTTGGGATGTGGTACCTGGATAAACGACCAAACCCGCTTTATTGAATAAAGTGCTCCTGAGTTGTCACCTGGGTGGAGGCTACAAGCGCCCTCGCTGACACATATTGCACAGGCATAGCCCACCGTTGTCACTACCAGGAGGCTGGTCCAGAGCAATTAAATGCAGCCAATGCTGAAGTCAGCGATCAAGGCTTTACTGGTTACATGCTTGTTCCAACTCAGTATTGAAACCAGAGTCGGCCAGCAATGTCATACCAGACTCCTACATCTTCCTCCAGCAGGGCTTCCTTTAAAGGGCCGGTTCACACTCCATGCATTTCAGTTGCTATTTTCTGCATCCAAAACGCACAGAAAGCAGGTTATATGGTGGACAATGTCATAGTTCACATCAGCGCTTTCAGTTCCGGGTTCGTTCCAGTTGCAGAAAAAAAAAAAAAAAAAAAAAAGTAGAACAGGCTGCATTTTTCCTGCACAGGAACGCATCAAAAACGCACTGGAACGCAAATGTCCCTATTTAGCTTGAAGAAAAAGAGGGCAAAAAATGAAGTAGAACGCATCAAAAATGCACCGAAACACATCAAAAACGCATCAAAAAAGGCGCATGCGGAAACACATCTGGAACACATCTGGATTTCGTTTCTATAGTGTAAACCGGCCCTAAAGAGAAACTCCAGTTTTATTGAAAAATAAAAAATATTTATATTAATATTCCCCTCTGGGTGACCAATGTACATTGCAGGGATTGTAGCAAACTTTGTAGCAGATTATTACCTTTTGTTGCTCTAAAGAAATAGTGAAATAGCTGTTTGTTTCCCCATGTCCTGTGCAGAGTGACTCTGAATGGGGGGGGGGGGGGGGGGTTCATTATAATCACCTGATGCACTCTCAGTGTTTCAATGAGAAAAGTTGCACGGTCTACCTCCCTTAAGAAGTATTTAACCCACGCAGAGCATCTCACCAAAGCTGATTTTCCTATTGCAGGGGATGCCTAAAATCTGACTTGTATCTCTGCAGATTTCTGGGAAAATCAGTGAGCCAATCACACAAGGAGGAAGTGACATTTTTTGGAGGCGTTCTCCACACCAGGACACCAGGACACCTCCAGATTGCTTTGAATTTCATTGCACAATGCAGCGACTGCAGAATGAAAAGGAAAGATCATTGTAATACCATTATTTACAATATCAATTGGGATCCCTCACTTAGGCTGAGAGGGATTTCTCATATGACCCCTTCGGTCACCTGGGATCCCTGATAGGACCCCTGTGTAGAATCCCTTATATGATCTCCTCAGGTCCCGCTTATGACCCCTGCAGTCCCCCCTTACATGACCCCTGCAGTCACCAATGGTATACAGAAAGTCCCCAGGTTGCCATATTCATTGAATTTTACAGAATATTACAGCGGCTGCAGATTGAAAAGAAAAGGCAATTTTTAATAACATTAAACTACAGTATTGTATGGGATCCCTTATATGACCCCTTTGGTCACCTGGGACCCCCCACCCCCATATAACCCCTTAGGTTACCTGGGGGACCCCCTATATGACCCCTTAGATCACCTGGGATTGCCTATATGACTCCTGCAGTCACCTTGCATCTCTTATATGACCCTTTTGGTCACCTGGGATCCCTTATATGATCCATTATCTGACCTGGGATCCCTTATATGACCCTGCAGTCACCTGGGATCCCTTTTATAACTCCTAAGCAGTCACCTGGGTTACCTGGGACCCCCTATATGACCCCTTAGATCACCGGGATCTTCTATGACCCTGCAGTCACCTTGGATCTCTTATATGACCCTTTTGGTCACCTGGGATCCCTTATATGACCTCTGCAGTCACCTGGGATCCCTTATATGACCTCTGCAGTCAGCTGGGATCCCTTTTATAACCCCTGCAGTCACCTGGGATCACTTATAGGATTTCTGTGGTCAGCTGGAATCCATTATATGACCCCTGCAGTCACCTGGGATATCTTATATAACCCCGTTCGTCACCTGGGATCCCTTATATGACCCATTAGGTAATCTGGGATCCTTTATATGACTCCTGCATTCATTTGGGATCCCTTATATGACTCCTGCAATCACCTATGATCTCTTACATGGCTCCTGCAATCACCTATGATCTCTTACATGGCTCCTGCAATCACCTATATGATCTCTTACATGGCTCCTGCAATCACCTATGATCTCTTACATGGCTCCTGCAATCACTATATGATCTCTTACATGACTCTTCCAGTCACCTGGGATACCTTATTTGAATCCTTTGGTCACCTAGGACTCCTTTATCTATTATTATTATACAGGATTTATATAGGCACAACAGTTTGCACAGTGCTCATATGACTCCTTTAATAACCTGGGACCCTCTTATATGACCCCTGCAGTCACCTGGGATCCCTTATATGACTCCTTTGGTCTCCTAGGACCCCTTATATTATTATATAGGATTTTTATAGCCCCAACAGTTTGCACAGCCCATTATATGACCCCTTTGGTCTCCTTGGATCCTTTATGTGACCCCCCTCGGTCACATGAGATCCCTTATTTGACACCTTTGGACACCTGGGATACTCTAGGTTACCCCTACAGTCACAGTAGGGTTCCCTTATCTGACCCCTTCGGTCACCCGGGGTTCCCTTATCTGACCCCTTCGGTCACCCGGGGTTCCCTTATCTGACCCCTTCGGTCACCCGGGGTTCCCTTATCTGACCCCTTCGGTCACCGGGGTTCCCTTTTCTGACCCCTTCGGTCACCTGAGATCCCTTATCTGACCCCTTCGGTCACCTGACATCCCTTATCTGACCCCTTCGGTCACCTGAGATCCCTTATCTGACCCCTTCGGTCACCTGAGATCCCTTATCTGACCCCTTCGGTCACCTGAGATCCCTTATCTGACCCCTTCGGTCACCTGAGATCCCTTATCTGACCCCTTCGGTCACCTGAGATTCCTTATCTGACCCCTTCGGTCACCTGAGATCCCTTATCTGACCCCTTCGGTCACCTGAGATCCCTTATCTGACCCCTTCGGTTACCTGAGATTCCTTATCTGACCCCTTCGGTCACCTGAGATCCCTTATCTGACCCCTTCGGTTACCTGAGATCCCTTATCTGACCCCTTTGGTTACCTGAGATCCCTTATCTGACCCCTTTGGTAACCTGAGATCCA